CCTTCCTCTCTCTCTGCCTGCCTCTCTGCCTACTTGTGATCTCTGTCTGTCAAATAAATAAATAAAATCTTTAAAAAAAAAAAAAAAGTACTTGCTCAGTGAATAAATGAGAAGAAGGTTATAAAGGGAGAAGGCAGGACAAAATGGGAAATGCATTTAGTGACTTCTGGTAGTAGAGACATTTCTGGGGCCAAGTGGCTCCCAAGGCAAGTTTCATTTTCTGTTAAAACTTAGTTCAAAACCAAGCTTTGGCAGCAAGTCTCTGTATGGTTTCTCTTTTATGTAATATGAAAAACTTACATTTAATAGCTTGCTTCTTTTGGAGCAATTTCCCAACACATCTATCCACTAGCAGACCACCATTTATCTTTTTTTTTTTTTTTAAGGTTTACTTATTTGTTTGACAGAGAGAGAGAGAGAGAGAGCAATCACAAGTAGGCAGAGAGGCAGGCAGAGAGAGAGGAGTGGGGGTAAGGAGGCTCCCTGCTGAGCAAAGAGCCCGATGCAGGGCTGGATCCCTGGACCCTGGGATCATGACCTGAGCCGAAAGCAGAGGCTTAACCCACTGAGCCACCCAGGTGCCCCAGGCCACCATTTTTCTAAGACAGACATCTTAATGTTCACGAATTAGTAATTCCTTAACAATATCTCCTTTACCAACGCATTTTGAGGGGTGATTAGCCATCAAGATCTACTGGTTCCATTCTGGAGTGGAAAAATGACATTGCTAATTTTGAGGTGAGGCTTCAGTGAATTTGTTCAGATGGAGTGCTACCTGATTTGCCTAAAGCCAACAGGGACGGAGGGCGTGGACGGGAGGGAAGCATTTTGTATGGAAATTCTTACTTCTTAAAAGCCGTAAGTACCTACTTATATCAAGGACAACAGAAGAATGTTGCTATTCTACCTACCGACTGAATCTTGATACTCAGAGTAGGCTTTTCAGTTGTCCTTCAGGAAGACATTCCTTCACTTAAGGAAGTGAGATGCTACTAGCAAGTCAATTTGAACACATAATCTGTTGAGTAAAAAACCAAATGGATCAACAGGGAATGCAGAAGGATCAACAGGGAATGCAGAAGACCTGACTGCAGGTCTGTTTCACTTAGGTTGAATAAAAAGATTCCCTGATGTGGGGCACAGGGTAATCAACTAGCAGAGCTTTCATGTCCCTGAACACTTCTTAACTTCCCTGTGCCTCAGTTTTCTTAACTGTAAATTGAGGTCCCTAACCCAGGTTATCTCTAAATTCCCAAAAGTTGGGAGGCAAGTAACTTTAATACACCGAGCTGGGTTCTTTAACAATTCCTTTAAAACTAAAGAATCTGTTTTCTGTTCAAAATTTTTAGGGCATCTCTCTTGTTCTCCAGCATCTTTTCTGTTGACTACTTACGCCCTCTAGTGACACACTTAATTATACAACAGAACTGGCTAGGCAAACAGTCTGTTCCAGAGGAGTAAAAGGGGGAAAACAGCAAGAACGCAGTAGATAAAATCAGTGTTAAGCAAAAGAGAAGCAGTCCAAAGATGTAGGTAAAAAACCAAACAAACAAACAAAAAAACACCACAAAAAACAAAGAAACAAACAAACAGCTGGAAAGAAATCAAATGGCCATCACTTTCTGCAGTGTGGCTATGACTGTGCCTTCTAGAACAAACACTGTAAAGGAATTACCTCTAGTAATTACTTACAGTGAAGAAAACAAACATGCTCCTGAATATAAAAGTTTTTTCAGGTATGACTGGAATACCCTTCTTCCTCACATTAAGATCTGGATACAGTCTCTTTTTCATTTAGCAAGATAAAAGATTTATTAAGACTTCTGGGGGCACCTGGGTGGCTCAGTGGGTTAAAGCTTCTGCCTTCAGCTCAAGTCATGATCCCAGGGTCCAGGGATCCAGCCCTGCATCAGGCTCTCTGCTCAGCGTGGAGCCTCCTGCCCCCCACTCTCTGCCTGCCTCCTCTGCCTACTTGTGATCTCTGTCAAATAAATAAATAAAACAAAAAACAAACAAAAGACATCTGGAAAGTCTCTATTACATACCTAATATGTAACTAACAGATGTGCTTTGAACACACCTGTCAAGGAGGTGCTAAGACATCAAATTATATACTGTCAGTCTCACCTGTTCATGGATTTACCAATAAAGATGGGTTCTGACTAAAATCATGGAGTGTGTTGGGCTTAAGCAAAGTCCTCAGCCTTCTAAGTATCATTCCTTGGTGTCACCACCATAGAAATGCACAAATGGTCTTTCTCCTACCACATAATTGAAAACAAACACCAGGGCCCTTCCTGGCAATAAATGATATCTGTATATAAATGCTGATGACATTTTTCTAGCACAGGTACACAAAAAGAAGAAATGGATTTCAATGATACCAATAGAGATTTAGATTAAACAACAGAGAAGTTTTCTTAACCATGCTATTGTTACTGATAGATGGGTGCGAGGGTAAAGACTCTTCTTATGAAATCATTTAAGAGAAGGAAACAGAATCTGTACTTATTTGCAGTCATTTTAATTCTAACTCTAACTGGACAATAAGATAGGGATGGTAACCATTAAAGTTTCCTTTCTACTCTTAAAATGAGATATGACTGTATGATTCATATATATAAAGTTCAAAAACAGGCAGTATTAATCCATGGTGACAGAAATCAGAAGAGTGGCTGCCTCTTGGGACAGGGAAGGGGGCATGAGGGAACTTTTCAAGGTGACGGAAAAATTTTATATCTTGATTTGAGTGGTGTTCACACTGGTGTATACAGTTGTGAAAATTCATCAAATCGTACACTGAAGATCCGTGCAGTTTATAGATTGTAAATTATATTTCAAAAAACATATATGCCAGAGTCTTGGGAAGAGTTAATTTTAAAAATACCGACACTACTCTTTAACAACAACAGGCTAAGAAAGAGAAGGGAGTTGTCATGACCTCAATAGCATATATAGTCTTACTGAACCAAAAACCAAGAAAAGAAAGAACTGGCCTGGCTTCTCAGTAGTATCCATGCTCATTAGTTAACAGTGCCAATTCAACAGAATGCCCCCTCCTCTGGCTGGCTCAGTTCTGCTGCCTGATGGAAGGACATGGAGGAGGGGGAGAAAGACTGGTCCTAAGAGATCACTCACTGTCTTGAAGTACAACCGCACCTTACGCGGCCTAGTATGTTGGTCTGTGGGTCCATATGATAATAGCATCATTCCTGCTCGTGTTAAAAGAGAGTACTTGCGAGAAAAACAGGTGTTTTTGGCTTTTTGTTTTCCCTCTCCAGTTAAATTACCTTCTAGAGATAAAAGACTGTTCATTCTTCCCTTAAGATTCTTGTTGGAGTCCGCCTGACACATGGCAGACACTAACAGATGCCTCAAGCAGTTGAATGTTTTTCAGTCTGACAAATGACTTTCACATCAAACCTCAATAGTCTGTTCTTCCTCCAATCAGAGAATTTTTTCTATAATTTTCATTCAATTTCATTCAAGCCCTGAGATGAAATTCTCTGGGAAGCACTGCATCAAGAACATTCTAGCTTTCCTAACCTGTGCCCTATGTCAGGATTTTCCCATGCCAAGTGGTTTGGAAAGGTGGAGACACAGATTCTCACTGACGAAAGACATTCTGTCACAACAAAGCCATTCTTGTTGTCATTCCCTTTATGGATTTAATGGCCCCTATAACCCTCTAGGAATTACAGTCCATTTTAGTGCTCTGTAATTTATTATTCAGATTCTCTCTTTAGGTATTTTATAATTCCCCAAAGCAACTTTCCTACATTCACTCTTTATGACTCCAAAAGCCCTTCTCAGCCCAGTGAAGAACTGAAGAGTTGCTGTTATTTATGCAAGTGTAGGAACGTCTTTGTGGTACTTTGACTGATACAGCTCCTCTTTGTGAGTCCACCTGGCTTTAACCAAGGGTGGGCAGTTCTCACCTATGTCACCACTAGTCGTCTAGGCATTGCTTTTTTGGAAGGCCGTACTGATTGCTTTGCATCTTGACTAAAATACAGGCAGGTCAATGACATAATACAGTATTTCTATTTTCTCTGCTAAGAATGCGTTAGTTGTTGATTTTCAGTATGGTTTATCAAATACATTCCTTTTTTTTTTTTTTAAGTAGGTGCCACACCGGGTGTGAAGCCCACTTAAGATTCTCTCTCTTGACGTCTGCCCAGTCCCCATCTTTCAAAAAAATAAAATAAATTAAAAAAAATTAAAAAAAAAATAAAAGAGTTGGACGCTTAACCAACTGAGTCACCCAGATGCCCCTCAAATATATTCTGAGAACCTACTTTCAGCTAACTGCAGGATATAAAAAGGCCATCTTTTTACATAATTTCCAGTAGAAATGTACATGTAGTCTCAATTCATGTAGTCAAAACCAAATTCCTTCTTCCCTCAACAACAGTACTGATAAGGAAACCACTAACTTTCTGTCATTTTTGAGTGGCTTTCAGGAACCTGGAATGTCAGGAAAGCTGGGCCCAGGCCATCCACTACAGAGAAAAGTTGGATGCCAGGCCTGAGTTGTATAAGAGTCAAGGGTTTAACCTCATTTCAAAGTCAAATATAAGTGACTTTTGGATTGTGCGATGTTTACATTCTTCACATTTATGTCCTTTTCTCTATGTAAGTATAGATCCATTAAAGAAATAGTATCAGTCTTTACTTTTCTTCCAAAGACTTCAAAGTACTTTCTACAATCCAGTAGCGTACTCAAAAGAGAGAAAAAGCAGACAGATTCTAGATCCTAGACAGCTCCTAGAACTGTGTTGGGGATCAGCAGAAGACATAGAGAAGCGCAGGAAACTTGCTCAAGAGCATTTGAGACTATATACCGCCAACTAACACCTGCCCCATCTCTCAGAGCAATGTCTATCTCCAAATCCTCCCACAACTCAAATCTGCATAGGGCCTGCTCTTTTCTCTCGAAACTGTATGCACACGAGAAAGGCTGAACCGAAAGGGACGTGCCTCACGGGCTTGCCACTTACCAGTGCTGCTTTTACCTCTTCGGACACGTCAGCTTCATCCTCCTGAAAAGGGAAGAGGGAGAAAAACAAGAAGCCCATGGTCACAGACCTCCTTGAAAGCAACAAGGGCAGCTCCCATCAATTATGCATCTCGGCATTTCCAACACAGGCAGTGAGGACTGACTGCCAAGTGATGCTCTGTTACTGCTGTTTTTAACAGACGCCAGAGGCAGACAGAGCAGGAACATCGCCTGTCATCAAAAACGCCACATAGGCCGTAGCAGGAAAAGGAGTATCTTCAGAAAAGTGAGAACTTTATTTCATCTCTGTCAATAGTTAGCAGTCTATTTGGTCCTATAAAAATGAGATACTTTTATCTTAAAGAATAGTTTCTAAGAGATGACTATCACCATTTCATTCCTTGTCTCCCTGAAGGTTTCATCTAGTTTTCAAATGAGTCACTGGTAAGCAGGGACATCTTGGTTCTTGGTCACTTACTTTTAAAAAATGCCAATAACAAAGTTGAGTGAAACGGGCATAGAGTAAGAGGGTAAATGAAAGTACTGAATGTGCCTGTAGTTGGTAGGCACCAGTGCACCTGCCTTTATTTTAAAGTTGAAGTTAATCTGTTTTATATGTATTTTTTTAATTTTTTCCTCTAAAAGAGTAAAATTGGGTCAGATGAACTTGTGTTACTAAGATTTTAGGTTCCTTGAAATTCTTGTAATGCTCCTAAAATAGTTCATTAGAACCTCTGCTTATATGGGATAATACTATTGTCTAACTACATGATTTTCTGGGACTACTAGGGAGAATTGCTAATATTTGACAAGCTTATTCCCTTGTTATATTTGCTTACATGGTTGTTACAGATTTCTGGTCTTTTCATTCATCACCTATTATTTACTGAGTGCCTACTTTGTGCCTGGCACAATTCTAGGCATTGGGTATCCAGCCAAGAATATATAAAAGGAGTCCCACTCCAGGGGAGGCTTTCTTCTCTTTCCTCACTAATATTTCTTGATCATCTGCAAGATTCATCGGACCACATGGGACCCTCAAACAAAGGATGGCAGCCATGGGTGATGTGATATGTCCCAGTGCGGACCAATCCACTTACATCCTTTGTCCAGAAATTGATGCCCGTGCCTCGCCGTCGTTCCTTGGCCCGCCTCCTCTCACGGATGGACAGTCTATTAGAGGTCTGATCATCCACATCCGCTTCTTCACTCTCTGGCCAGAGAGAAAACAAAGTGTGATCTCAGGAAGTGGGGGCATGTACATGAGTGGGGGTTGCATATTCTGAAGCTCTACAAACCATTTTTGTCCATTTCCTTTGCAACTGCAGTGTTTGTGGTGGTCTCCGAACTCTCAGAGTCAGGGACTGAAGATCTGCTTGTCTGTAGCAGATGGGAACTGGTGTAGAGAGACGGCCTTGATGCAGAAGGAGACACTGGTGTTGTGGGTTTGTCTGGCTGAGTTGGATACCTCAGGCGACGATAGACAGGCTGGAAATAATCCACAGGCCTAGATGTTAGAGGTCAAATCCAACCAAATGATAAGGATAGCAGGCTTATAACAATGGGCTTTTCCTATACCAAGAAGCTTATTAATAGTAGATGCTCAGTAAATAGCTACTGAGCTGAACTAAAGTTAGTTAGTTAATTAGCCAGAAAGGAAACAGCTTCTAGATTCCTATCTGATAACATCATCATGTTGACAGCAGCCCAGGAAAATTTCCCCTAAATTGACCAAAGGGTACTCTGTAGCGTTAACCTTGTTAATAAAAATTCCTTTCATTTTGGAATGAAAATAAGAAGGATGATGGCCTGTTTAAGATGGAGCACTGAAAGGCAAAGTTTACAGGGAAAAATAAAAAGCAGCTCAAGAATATGAAGAAATAAGACAGTAATCCGAGAACAGCGACCAAGTCTGAGCAGTGTACCAATTTCTGAACACTCTACAAGCCTGCCATAACCAGGCTTATTAAAACTTAAAAAAAAACTCCTGGTGGCCTGGGTGGCTCAGGTGGTTAAGCATCTGCCTTCAGCTCAGGTCATGATCCCAGGGTCCTGGGATTGAGTCCTGCATCAGGCTCCCTGCTCAGTGGGGAGCCTGCTTCTCCCTCTGCCTCTCTCTCTGCCTCTCATGAATAAATAAATAAATCTTTTTAAAAAATTCCCATTTTCCACTTTGAATTTTTTCCCCAAGGAGAAAGATAGAGCCTGACAATAAGCCTTAATTTGATTTATTAAAGGTGCACAGAGAGAGAAATTCTTACTACATGTAGAGATTGTATACTTTTTTGTTTATAAAGACAGAAGCAATAAAATATAGTAAGCTTTGGAATCAGGCAGAACTTGGTTCAAATTCTAGTTTCAGCACTTACTAGCTGTGTGGCCCTGAATAAGTTACTTAACTTCTCTGAGCCTCAGCTTTCTCCTATGTAAAGTAGGGATAATAACCTTCTCAGAGAGGGTTGTGAGGATTATAAAGGTAATGTATGCTCTCCTTAGAACAGTGGCTAGTAGTAAGTAATCAATAAACAGTAGCTGACAAAAAAAAAAAAAAGAACCTCAATTAGTTTATATAACCTAGCCATTCAGAGTTGGAGCAAGGAGATTTCTTCTTCCTCTAACTATGATGACGAGAAAAATTTGCCATCCCAATTAAGATACTTCGGAGAGTGGAGATGAATGATATCAACAATTACACTAAGATAACAGGTGTAATCTGAACCATTTTAGGTAAACTAGAAGTTAGTTAAACTAGAAGTTCACCCTAAATAGAACCCTATACCTTTGACTACCAACTCCACTTGAGAAAGGGAACATAAGCTAAAACTGTCCACCTCAATAGTGACATCTTGTGGCATGGGATTAAGGGGGTGCTTCATAAACTCCTAGGTTTGCAGGGGTTTAGACAACAATTTAATCGTGGTTCAGAGAGCACTCTGGGGCTTGACTGCCTATGCTCTAGTCCTGCTTAACCACTTCGCATCTGTGTGACATGCTGGGCAAGTTACTTAACCTCTTTGTGACCTGATTTCCTCACATGTACAGTACAAATAATATCATCTACCTCGGAGGGTTGTTTTTGAATACATACGAAATCGTTGAAATAATGCCCGGTATAAAGTAGACACTCAGTAAATCCTCTTATTTCTATTTGTATTTTTATTATACTATAACCTCTCTCTTGAGAACAGAAAAACATCTTTAGTTAAAGAATTAATTTAGTTAATGGAATTTATTGTGGTAGTCATTTCACAACATACACATGTATCAAACCGTCACGTTGTACATAATCTAAAGTTAATAAAATGTTGCATGTTAATTCACGGTTATAGGTCAACATCTCAATAAAACTGGATGAAAAATGAGCGTCAGTTAACTCCGAGCACAAAATGATGACTGACGGACGGACATCCTCTGAGTTCTTTCAGCCACTCAGGTTTGCCAACGACACACAGACGTCACCAGTGTTTTCTACGCGCTGTCCACTGCAAAGGAGCACCGTGCTCGAGTTGCCAGCGAGGAGGGATCCCTACGGCAATGACCCTGCTTTAGCACAGTACAGGCCAGTGACTTACTTCTCCATCCAGACTCCCGCCCCAGGGCTGACGACCCTCGCCAGCTTCCTTTGCCGGGGCTGCTGAGGGCTCACGCTTCTCCGAGCTTCCCTCAAGCCCTTCGGTGCCTGCGGGCTTCTGGCTAGGCTGCTCCTGAGCTTGCCGTTCCGCTCTTGACCTGCTGAAAGTCCTTTCTGCTTCCTGAAGGTCCGTCAGTGTCACGCCCTGGGAAAATGATACAAGGTCAGGGAAGTTTCACCTTGACCGTGGAGTAACTCTGGATAAATAAGCAGGGAGACTGCCTTAAAGTTCTAACGGTATCAAATTCCAAATGAAGCTCTCAAAACGTATGAGGCCATTTCAAGTAAGATCTGCTTAAAATAAACACCTCGGTGTGCAGAGAGCCCCAGCCTGAGCCCATGCATATTTCAAATGTAATACTTTAGCTTTTCCAGTTTGAGTGCCAGAAAATAGGGCAACACTGATGGCTGCCTGTCACAGATGTACTTCTCTCATACCCTTAATTCTCAACACCTTCATGTGAAAGCTGCATACCTCCCAAGAACAAATGGCTACTGAAACAAATTCTCTAAACAGTGGATAATAAGAAAAACTTGATTTTATTTATAGAAAGAAAAATCAGGCTCAAAAAGGTGAAAATTTGAGCCAGGCGAGAACAACAAAAAAACCAACCAACAACCAACAAAAACGACACCACCTAAATTAGCTTTACTCTAAGATGATTTCCTAAGTAACTCTAGGAATGTGACACAGAGACATTCCAACAACTGATATTTCCCCCAGGCTCTTAGGAGCAGCAGTACAGAAGAAAAATGAGGAGGAGCCATCTGCAGAAGAAGGGAGAGAGGACCAGAGCGAACTGATTCCAACTTAAGCAGTTATGTGCTCAAGTCTTCAGGAGAAGGAAGTTCTAAAGCTGGAGGTAGTTAAGCAAGTACTATACCCGTTGTTGTTGTTAACTACTCATGAATTTACTCACTCATTCTCTTAATAAATTAAGTGTCCTTAAGCACTGGAACTACAGACAAATCAAATGATTCCTGCACTGAAGAACCTTTTAATCTAATGGAAAAGACATACTAAACAGATGAGCATAATGGAATGAATATAAGTCATTAAGACAAAAAGGTATGATCCAGAAAATTCTGCTTCTGAGAATTTACCCAAAAGAACTGAAAGCAGGGTCTCAAAGAGATCATTTGTACATCTGCGCTCCCAGCAGTATTATTTACAGTGGACAAAAGGTGGCCATCTGCAAGTGAATGAATGAACAGCACATGGTCTAACCACGGAGTGGAATACCCTTCATCCCTAAAGAAGAATGAAGCACTGACACAGGCTGTGACGAGGATGAACTCTGAGGACATTACGCTAAGTGAAGTAAGCCAGTCACCGAAGGACAACTATGTATGACTCTACTTGTGAGAAGTACTTAGACTGATCAAATTCAGAGAAACGGGAAGTAGAATGGTGGTGGCCAGAACCTGAAGGGGGTGGGAGAGGGAATTACTGTTGAATATACATCAGAGTTTCAGTTTGGGAAGATCAAAAATGTTCTGGAGATGGATGGTGGGAACAGTCGCAAAATAACGCAAATGAACTTAACACTGAACTGTACACTTAAATGGGTAAAGTGGTAAATTGCATGCTATGTGTATTTTACCACAATAAACCAAACCAAAACAAAAAAGTTATCATCAGTCTTGGTCTTTATGGAGGTTACATTCTAAGAGGGAAAAACAGAGAAATAATGAAGCAAAAACAAAGTAACAGTAGTCATAGTTACTACAAAGGAAGGACACTTAACCTACTTTGGAAAAGTCAGGGAAGACAGGGGTACGATTGTGACTATTTATAAAGTCCCTTTCTGGGGCGCCTGAGTGGCTCAGTCAGTTAAACGTCTGCCTTTGGCTCAGGTCATGATCCCGGGGTTGTGGGATCAAGCCCCACATGGGGCTCTTTGCACAGCAGGGTGTCTGCTTCTCCCTCCCCCTCTGCCACTCCTCCTGTTTGTGCTCTCTCTCCCTCTCTCTTTCAAATAAATCTCCTTTTTTAAAGATTTCATTTATTTATTTGACAGAGAGATAGAGAGAGAGAGAGCACGAGTAGGCAGAGAGGCAGGCAGAGGGAGAGGGAGATGCAGGCTCTCCACTGAGCAGGAGCCTGATGCAGGGCTCGATCCCAGCACCCTGGGATCATGACCTGAGCCAAAGGCAGATGCCTAACCGACTGAGCCACTCGGACACGCGTCAAATAAATAAATCTTAAAAAAAAAATAATAAAATAAAGTTCTTTTCTTCAGTCTTCAGCTTTCCTGCCTGACCTCTGTAGCATTTACAACTGTTACCTTCACCTTTTACCAGGAAACTGACTTTTCATTGACTTCTATGCTGTTCCTATTTCTTGGCTTACCTTTCATCTCTCTGGCTGCTCCTTTTAATTGTGTTTTATCAGCTCATCATCCTCTGCCTCCTTAATGCCAAGTCACAGCTTTCTCTCCCTTCTCCCTGCCAGTGCATCCTGAGTTCATGGTCTTGTTTCTCCCAGCATAGACTACTGTAACGCTTCCTAACACGTCTTCTTGTTTTCTGCCTTGCCAAACATACTTTCGCCGTCCATTCCCATCAATTCTCTGCATGGTGATTTCTGCAATATTATGCAGATTGGGGCACTGGGTGGCTCAGTTGGTTAAGCATCAGATGCTTTTTTTTTTTTTTTTTTTTTAAGAGGGAGAGAGAGCAAGAGTGCGACTGAGTCACCTAGGCACTCCGTAGCCTCTGACTCTTGATCTCAGCTCAGGTATTGATTTCAGGGTTGTGAGTTCCAGCCCTGTGTTGGGTTCTACACTGGGCATGGAGCCTACTTTAAAAAATAAAAAATTATATATGTATATATATAAATTTATTTCTTAATATTATATAAATATTTGTATGTATACTTTATATAAATGCAGATTATATCCAGACTCTTCCTTACTTCAGTGGCTCCCTTAGTGATTTTTTTTCTTTTAAAACTATCTTTATTGAAGAGGTGCCTGGGTGGCTCAGTGGGTTCAGTAGCCAACTCTTGATTTTGGCTTAGATCATGGTTTCAGGGTCCTGGGATCAAGCCCCGACTCAGGCTCCATGCTCAGCAGGGAGTCTGCTTGACATTCTCTCTCTTCTCCCTCTGCCCCTTCCTCTGCCTTGTGCAGGCACGCACGCGCTTTCTCTCTCTAAAATAAATAAATAAATCTTAAAAAAAAAATATATATATATATCTTTATTGAAACCTAACTCCCAGATCATAAAACCTACCCTTTTAAAGTACAGGCATGGGGTGCCTGGGTGGCTCAGTCTTTAAGTGTCTGCCTTCGGCTCAGGTCATGATCCCAGGGTCCTGGGATCGAACCCGCATCGGGCTCCCTGATCAGTGGGAAGCCTGCTTCTCCCTCTCCCACTCCCCCTGCTTGTGTTCCTTCTCTCACCGTGTCTCTCTCTGTCAAATAAATAAACAAAATCTTTATAAATAAATAAACAAATAAATAAATAAAGTTCAGGCAGATTTCAGAGATACTGTGGGTCTGGTTCCAGACCACCACATAAAGTGAGTATCACAATACAGTGAGTCAAATAAATTTTTTGGTTTCCCAGTACTTATAAAAGTTATGCTCATACCATACTGTGGTCTATTAAGTATGCAATAATATTATGTCCAAAAAACAATGTACATACCTGAATTAAAAAATACTTTATTGCTAAAAAAAAATGCTAACCATTGTCTGAGCTTTCAGCAAGTCATAGTATTTTTGCTTGTGGAGGCTCTTGCCTTTACGCTAATGGCTGCTGACTGATCAGAGCAGCTGTGGCAATTCCACACAATACGACAACAGTGCAGGAGTGTACCGTGCTGCTTGACTCCTGTGTCCACGAGCAACTTCTCTGTAGCAGCGGATGCTATTTGGCAGCATTTACCCACAGCAGAGCTGCTTTCAAAATCGGAGTCAATCCCTCCAACCCTGCCACTGTTTCATCAGCTAAGTTGAGATCATATTCTAAATCCTTTGTTGTCATCTCAATAGTCTTCACTGGGAGTACATCCCCTCTCAAGAAAACAACATTTTTGGCTCATCTGTAAGAAGAGACTTCCCACCTGTTCATGTTTCATCATGAGATTTCAGCCATCCAGTCCCATGTTTAGGCTCCGCTGCTAAATCTAGTTCCCTTGCTACTTCCACCACATCCGCAGTGACTTCCGCCACTGAACTCTGAACTTCTGATTAGTTAAAAAAACAAACAAAAAGCAGTATCTGCAAAGCATAATAAAATGAGGGATGCCTGTATACAATTCAGTGGTTTTAGCATGTTCAGAGTTCCGCAACCATCATCACCGTCTCATTTCAGAACATTTCATCACCCCAAAAAGAAACTCCTAACCATCAATAGTCACTCCCCGTTTCTTCCTCTCTCCCACCCTGGCAACCACTAACCTATTTTCTTTTCTTTTCTTTCTTTCTTTCTTTCTTTCTTTTTTTTTTTTAGGAGAGACAGCGAGTGAGAGTGAGGCTGGGGGAGGATCAGAGGGAGAGGAAGAGAATCTTAAGCAGGCTCCATGGGCAACTCGGAGCCTGATGCATGACCCTGAGATCATGACCTGAGCCGAAACCAAGAGTTGAACGCTTAAGTGACTGAGCCACCCAGGTGCTCCACTAATTTTTTCTATTTCTCTGGCTTTGCCTATTCTGGATCTTTTCATATCAGTGGAATCATGTCTTGTTTCTTTCACTTAACATAATGTTTTCTCAAGGTACCTGCACATTGTAGCATTAGCATGTATCATTTCATTGCCAAATAATATTCTATTGTACAGATCTATAATATTTTGTTTATCCATTCCTTTGTTGATGGAAATTTGTTTTCTTTTTTCCCCAGTTATGCTAACTGCTCAATTTATTTGGTTTGCTTGATGGCTCAACCTATGCCTACCACTCCTATACCTGCTGAGGATAGCTGAGGCACACCCAGCCACACAATGCTAACCCTTGCTGCTGCTGGGGGCCCAGGACTCAACTCTACAGCTGAGTTGGTCTACACAGCAAGTAAACTCTGGTCAGAGTTCAGAGATGACACTGAATTTGGGATGTGGGCTATTGTGAATAATGCTGTTATATAAACACCTGTGTACAAGTTTCTTTTATTTATTTATTTATTTATTTGACAGAGCAAGCAAGTAAGCAAGCGAGACAGAGAGCAAGCACAAGCAGGGGGGAATGGCAGGCAGGGGAGAAGCAGGCTCCCCACTGAGCAAGGAGCCTGATACGGGGCTTGATCCCAGAACCCTGGGATCATGACCCGAGCTGAAGGCAGCTGCCCAACTGACTGTGCCACCCAGGCACCACTATGTACAAGTTTCTGTGTGGACATATGTTTTCATTTCTCTTGACTATATACCTAACAGTAGAATTGCTGGGTCATATGATAACTGTACAGATAACGTTTTGAGGAACTGCCAAACCCTTCTCCTTTAGGGATTCTTCAGATGTGGCCTCTTAAATACAAATGGAATGATTAGTCTTGTGAAGGAAAGGAGATAAACCTGCTCTGAGCCTAGAGAAATAAAAGTGAGAGTGGGCAGATGGAGCTATAAATACATCTGATACTACGTAGTGTAAGATTTAACACAGGTGAAAACTTTTACAACAGTGGCTGGAGTAAGGAACTCGTTTTACGATTTTTTAATCGTTCCACCAACAGAAAGGAAGATAGACAAAATGACATAAAAAAGAAGGCCACACTCACTTGGGTAGACCTTCGAGTCTGCCGAGCTTGTCTGGAGCGTGCTTTTCTTAAGGACTCTGCTTCCTCATCCCGTACAGGAGTCAGATATGATCTGCAGAGAAAAAAAAGTCATAGCAGAAGTAAGAGACCTTTGTTGCATGTACTTGGGGAATGGGGAATGACAAGGTACTTCCACATACTGTGGTGATTTCTACACTCTTAGAATGAACTTAGGCAGAATCAAAATGATAGAAATGCTATCAGTGAAAACAAGACATTACTTGTAAATGTATTACTGTTCAAGCAGAATCATGTCATCTATAAAATGAGAATTTAATTTCTTCTTTCCACATCCTTACAATTTTTATTTCTTTCTTTTCTTGCTTTAATGCTCTGGCTAGAGCCTCCAGGATATGTTGAAAAGGAGTGATGATAGCAAGTTTCCATGCTTTGTTCTTGCCTTCAGAGACAAAGCATTCAGCATTTTATCACTCTGATGTCTACTGCAAGACTTCTGTAGACACTGCTTCTCAAGTTCAATCAACTCCTTTCTATTCCAGTAGGAAGTAGGCTAAGAGGGTTTTGTTGTTATTGGTTCTGTTTTTTAATCATTGGTGTGTGTTGAACTAATCACATGGTTTTCTTCCCCATATATTGAGATTATTATCATTTCCCTTCTTTTTTCTGTTAATATGGTGAATTGCACTGAATAATTTTTGAATGATAAAATAACATTGGATTCTTAGGATAAGCTCAACTTGGCCATGATGTATCATTTTTTTAAAAGAAATATTATTTTATTATTTTTTTAAGTAAGCTCTATACACAACATGGGGTTTGAACTCACAACCCTGAGATCAAGAGTTGCATACTCTACTGACTGAGCTAACCAGAGACCCCTACATCTACTTACTTTTATATAGATTCAGTATTGTTTAGTTTAGGATTTCTCCATCCACGTTTATTAGAGAAATTGGCCTGTAATTTTCCCTTTTTTTTTTTTTTCAAGATTTTATTTATTTATTTGAGAGAGAGACAGTGAGTGAGAGCATGAGCGAGAAGGTCAGAGGGAGAAGCAGACTCCCCATGGAGCTGGGAGCCCGATGCAGGACTCGATCCTGGGACTCCGGGATCATGACCTGAGCCGAAGGCAGTCGTCTAACCAACTGAGCCACCCAGGCGTCCCTAATTTTCCCTTCTTATAATAACCTGGTCAGCTCTAGAAATAAGATCATACAAGTTGGGAAGTGTTTTCTCCTTGTCTATTTTCTGTAAGAATTTGTATAAGATTAAGGTTGTTTCTTTCTTAAACAATTAGTAAAGTGCACCAATGAAGCCATCTGGATTTAAAGTGTTCTTTATGGGAGGGTTTTAAATAAGGGGTTCAATTTCTTTAATTGACTTAGGCCTAGTCAGATTTTCTGTTTTGGTAATATTTATTTTTCAAAGAACTTAATATTCTTATATTTAGTGGCACAAAATTATTCATAATATTCTTGTATATTTTATTTATTTATTTTACTCTTGTATATTTTAACTGTCATTTTAGTATCTGTAGCAATGATACTTTAATTTTTTGGTCTCAGGGTCCTTCTACATTATATCTGTATCTATATATCTATATCTATATATTTTTTTAAGATTTTACTTATTTGACAGAGAGAGCACAAACAGGGGAGAGTGTCAGGGAGAGTGAGAAATAGGCTTCCCATTCAGCAGAGAGCCAGATGTGGGGCTCGATCCCAGGACCCTGAGATCATTACCTAAGTTGAAGGCAGATGCTTAACCAACTGAGCCACCCAGGGGGCTCCTACATTTTTTTAAAGATTTTATTTATTTATTTCAGAGAGTGTGCAAGAGGGAAGGACAGAGGATGAGGGAGAAGCAGACTCTGCACTGAGCATGGAGCCAGATGTGGGGCTTGATTCCAGGACCCTGGGATCATGACCTGAGCTGAAGGAAGATGCTTAACTGACTAAGCCACTAGGTGCCACCCTTTTACATTTTTAAAAATTACTGAAGACCTCCCCTCAAAGGGCTTTTGTTTATGTGTATCTATTCATATTTACCCTAGCAGAAATTAAAACTGATCAATTTGAAAAATATGCACTAATGCATTTAAAAATAATAGCCCTATTACAGAAAGGTACATCAATAACTTAGCTTTTATGAAAAATAACTATTATCTAAAACAAAAGATTTTAGTAAGGGTGTTGTATTACATTTTTATCATTTTCTTTAACACTGGCTTAGTAGAAGATAACCAGATTTTCATTCACACTTTATTCAATATGTTATATAATGGTGTTTCAATTAAAATATATAAAGAATATACAGTCTTTCACAGGTTTGTAGTTGGTAAAGCCAGTATTATTGTAATAGCCTTTTTAGATAATTATGGATATTCTTCTTTAAAACTATATACTAAAACACAAATGGCAGTTTCTCAAAGGTTAGTAGCAGAAAAAATAAAGAAAAAAATGGTTAGTAGCAAGTGGAATCTGAAACCGTGTTAATAGACTGTTCATATTGTTATATTGAAATCTATTGGTCTTGCATTTTGAATGGACCTTCTTACCCCTGCACGAATTTGGGTCATTGCACATCGGTCATTTGGAAAACACTGGTGCAGATCTTCCAAATGTTGACACATTGCATTATAAAGTAATAATTTTATAAATCACATTCTGTAACATAGGGGTAAGCTCCTTGACATGGCCCCGATAATGATTTTTTTGGATTTGACACCAAAAGCAAAGGCAACAAGAGCAAAAATAAATTAAGTGGGACTGTATCAAACTAAAAAGCTTCTGCATAGCAAAGCAAACCATCAACAAGAAAAGGCAATCTACAGATGGAAGAAAACATTGGCAAATCATATATCTGGTAAGGTTAATATCCAAAACAGATAAAGAACTCATACAAAATAAGAGGGGAAAAAAAATCTAATCTCACTTATATGTGAAATCTTAAAAAAACACGAACTCATAGAAACGGAGAACTGATCTGTGGCTGGGCAAAGTAGGTCAAGGTGCTCAAAAGGTATGAAATTTCATTTATAAGATTAGTAAGCCCTGGGTATATGATGTACAGTACTATAAATAACAATGCTGTATTATAAAGTCGAAAGTTGTTAAAAGAGTAATTTTAAAAGTTCTTAAGAGGGAAAAAATTATAATTATGTGTGATGATGGATGTTAACTAAACTCACTGTAGTAATCATTTTGTAATATATTTACTAAATCACTAAGTTGCACACCTAAACTAATACAATATGTCAACTATATCTCAATTTAAAAAAACAGAAAAATAAAACATAAAAAATCATTCTTTAATATCACCTTTGATCTTGGGGCAGTCTTCAAATATTGGGAAGCAGTCAATAATACCACTCATAATGGCAGATACAAGTTTTCCAAAATTCTAATCTCTCCTTGAAATTTATTTTGTAATTGGCAACAACTAACTTTGTGACAAGCTCACTGTATTCATTTTCAAGAAAACGTCTGCCAGATACTTAAGTCTAAAGGACCACAGTTTGCCTAGTCATTCTTTCAAGTAAAAAACGGTGTCCCAGGAAAAAAGCAGCTAATTCCTCTTTTTCTTTCCTCTGCATTCCAATTCTACTTATGTTAGACCTTATTTGCCATATTCTATTTATTTATTATGCTTTTTCTATATTTCCCTTCCTAGTCTCTGTCTGAGTTTCATTCTGAGTTATTTTCTTTCTCTTTCTGTTTTAAGTTTTATTTATTTAAGTCATCTCTACACTCACTATGGGGCTTGCACTCACAACCCCGAGATCCAGAGTCGCGCGCTCTCCCAACAGAGCCAGCTGGACACCTTGCGCCAGATATTTGTTACCGTCCATCTAATTACTTCACTAATCCTCTCTTCAGCTGGTCTACTATAAACTCACCAGTTGAGTTTCTAATTACAGTTATTTAAAGTTTCGGTTCTAGAATTTCTATTTGATTCTTTTTAAAATAGACTGCAGTTCTCTGTTGAAATTCTCCACCTTCTATTTTCTTGAACATATTAACCATAACTAATTTGAAGTCCATGTTTGATAACATTAATATCTGCTCTATTCGTATTGTTTCATGTTGTTTTGTTTTCTTAGTCTTTTGGTAAATCAGTCTTATTTCTTGGCTTGTCTGCTAATCTCTGAAAAAAAATCCACATTTTGTTTTACACTGAATACATGTCTTTATTAGGAAAACTGTAAGTGCACACACATCTTTCTCACTGATATGACTTCAAAGTAGTGACTGTTTCTTAAATGGAGTTGTTACTTGTTTAAAAAAAAAAGCACACTGCATAGAGGAAGCTGTCTTATTTGGACCATTTCCACATTATAGCTCCAATTAAAAAAATACAAAATACAGTATTTATCACATTTAACACTGAACCCATCACTGCTCAGAGGCTGAGCATTCAGCAAGCGTCAACTGCCAAACATTTTTAATGAGAGAATATTCTTTTCCTCTGGCAGTTAGGTTAAGGAAGTGATTCTCAAACTTCCATCTGCATCAGCGTTTCTTAGGGGGCTTGTGAAATACAAATTGTTAGGCCCCACCCCCTAGATGTCCTGATTCATCGGGTCTGGAGTAGGGTCTAAGAATTTGTATTTCTAATCAGGTCTCCGTGATGCTTCTCATCTGGAGACCATACTCTGAGAACTACAGCGCCAAGGCAAATGACATTCATCTACCTTGAGATTGAGCTGATTAGAAGGTAGACTTCAGTGTTTGCAAGGGCTGGTCTATTTCTGATAAGTCCTCACTTTAGAAAGTAGTTCTTCAGTGGTCTCAGGTGAATATATGGGGCCCCACTATCTGAACCCCAGTTTTTGTTCCTTCGGCTCCATGAGACTTCAATTACTGAAAATCCTGCCCAGTTTCTTAGCTTTGTAGCTACAGCTCTATCAATCAGCAAATGCCTCGAAGGGAAAAGCACAGCCAATTGTTGGGTTCACCTCTTTATGATTTCTTTCTCTCTAGGATCTTGACTTCACTTCCTTAATAACTCTCCAATATCTTCAAAGGTACTTTTTAATATTTGTCCAGTTTTCCTAGTTATTCTCAGTTGGAGAGTTTGTCTAATACAAGA